CTTTTCTCCCGATGTTTTATCGTAAAATGAAAGTTTTGTCGTAAATTAATAACGTATATATATATATATTATATATTATATATATATATTACTAATCATATATATATATATGTATATATACCTTAATTATTAATTTATATGGTAACACGGTTCATAAAACCAGGTCCATGGTAGGTGAGCACAGCCAAGGTAACCGGCAAGGACGCGGTAAAATATGGCTGCATGCCGGCAATGGCACGACGTAACAATAGCACCAACAGCAGAATAGTAACAATAGAAACAATAGCAACAAATACGGGCGGGGTAAAAACTGTGCGGGTTATTAAATCGTGAACCCTCCTCACCTCTCTCTAGCAGGCGTATATTCTAGCAGCTTGTGCTCCCATCAACCACCTTGTAGACTACCAAACCCGAGTAGCTCTACCAACCCCCTCGTTTCACGTCTAGCTTTCTAGCAGACCTATTTTTATGATCCCACCCCCCACCACTTGACTATTTCTCCCCCCCCCCCACAATCTTCTCTTAGGAAAGCTTGCAGTGGCACACAGTGATTCAGAGAGCTATAGTGTATATCCCATGCAAAATGGGGCAGTAAAAGAAATGGGAAGGGTGCCACAAACCTTAACACCAGCTACATAATAAAAGGAGACAGTCATAAGACGCTACCACAAGTCGCCAATAGAAAACCACCCCCGCTGCTTGTGTATGGACAATATATATATATATATATATATATATATATATATATGCGTATGCGTGCGCCGCGCACCGTGCGCGCGCACGCATCAGTTCTGCAGAGCTGTAGGATGTACTACTACTACCAAGAGATCAATATTACTTGGCAGCTAGATTGTATTTCTCCCTCAGACGGCAACAGCAAACCTAACTCCCAGCTAGGCAGGCAGGCACGCAGTCAATCCCCCCTCCCTGCACACACTGCACACGATATTGATCTTCCCCGCCGCGCTCTCTCCCCTTTTAGCGCTTCCCATGTGACAGATGCCAGCCAATAACCAGTTACGAGACCTGCCTGCGCACGGTGTTGCCCTCGCGCGTAAGGCGATAATGACGTCGGGGGGGGGGGTGGACCGTGATTATCGGATTAGCGTTGACACGGCGGTGGCACCTGACGACGTCCACTTCAATAATTACGGTTAATTACACAAGAGAGAGCGAGAGAGAGAGAGGGAAGAGAGATAGAGAGGGGGAGAAAGAGGGGAGGGGAGAAGGAAAGAGAGAGAGAGGATAGAGAGAGAGGAGAGGAGAGAGGAGAGAGAGCAGGCGAGAGAGAGAGAGAGGAGGGAAAGAGAGGAGAGAGACAGAGTGAGAGACAGAGAGAGGGAGAAGAGAAGAGAGAGAGAGAAGAGAGAGAGAGAGGGGGGAGAGGGAGAGAAGAGAGAGAGAAGGGGGGAGGAAGAAGGAGAGAGGGAGCGAGGGAACAGAGAGAGGCGGCGAGAGAGAGCAGCAGTGAGAGAGAAGATAAACAGAGAGCAAATCAGAGCGATAAGAGAGAGAGAGACAGAACAGACAGACCAGCCAGACAGACAGACAATCGACAGAGAGAGGTGGAAAGAGGGGTGCAATGTCGTGCGGTGGTATGGCGTGCTGCGTGGCGTGCGGTGTTAGCTGAGC